GATGATTACGAACCCCCAGATTCTTCCCTTTGGGGTGCGGCCATTGCTTTCCCCGGAGCGGTAAGACCACAGGGGGGGGCAGAAGACGCCCACGCGCGCCCAGGATTTTGTTGTGTTTTTTCTCTTTTTCAAGCGGACGGGATGTAGCAACGGTGTTCAGTTAAGTAGGTAGTTTTTTCCAGGGAGGGGGTGGTGGATATTCGTCCCAGTAAAAGCATCCGGTAGACGGGGGCCCACCCCCAAGAAACACTGGGGGGACCCGGGGATGGGAGCTTTTTTTTTTTTTTTCTTGTTTGGGGGGAGTTTTCCATGGTTTGGGGAGCGCTGGGGGGGGGGGGGGGGGGGGGGTTGTGCTCTATTCAGCTTATTTTCGTTCAATATAAGTTTCAAAACGACAGCAATTCTCGTGAATTAAGTATTGTTGTTCCGTGTTTTTTTCTCCATGCCTTTTCCCCCTTTCGACGACGATGCTCTATATTGACACAGGCAGATATGTGTGTTGGCACGAGAGCTACATGCGTGTTCTGCCTCTCTCTGCTGTGCCCAGAAGCAAAGGTTGTTCATCTAGCCACTCCCAATGCCGCACCCAGGCCATGCAATCGTTTGAGATTGGAACTCGGGCTTTTTGTGGAAGTACTTGGTACGTAGCACCGGTATGATTTTTTGCTTGTTTTCGTCTGTTTTGTGACAAATCAGGCTATCTGGGCTACCCAACACGACTCGGACACTCTCGTGAGCCACTGCGAACTGGCGCTCAGCGCTGTGGCCTCTCTCACGGACGACGTTCTGTGTACCGGCACTAAGGCAAGAGAGAACAGACAAATGTAATGCGGTTCGATGCGATTCGATGATGTCACCCACAAGAGAGAGGGAGCGAGGATGAGAGGTTTTGGTCAATGGAAAGATTGTACAACAGCAGTAGTATCGTTGTTGCGGCAAGGGCTCGAACGAGAAAACGTTGCGGTGGCTTTTCATGCTGCTGCTGCTGCTGCTGCTGCTGCTGCTGCTGCCACGGACGGTGTTTATGCGGTGTAGCTCCCTCGGGAACGCGATTTGAGTGCTGTGTTTTCGCGCTGGAGCCTGTGCTGCCGTGAGCACTCCTGCCACCCACTTTATAGAGACCCTAACCTGACCCTAACATCCAAGACCTCTGACCTGACCCTAACATCCAAGATCTCTGACCACGCTTCGCTTTCACAACCTGACCCCCCCCCCCCCCCCCCTTCTGTTGTCCATACGACGACATACCATTCCTTACGACGACGACATACCGTGCTTACCGACACCCGAAACCATCAACTCAACCACCCTCATCGCGGGGTGACAACAACAACAACAACAACAGTTCGTCCGGCTGATGTGCAACTCCGACGAGTTTATGCTCGGCGACGCCCTCGACGAGATCCCGGAGATCAACGAGTCGTGCGGGGACGGCGCCACCGAGAGCCTGGACACCTCGGCGCAGGGCTACGTGACCTTGATGCAGGAGGCGGTGGCTCTGATGGCGGCCGACTCGGACCTGTCCATCCCGGCCGCCGAGATCGATTCCGTGTGCGAGGTGGGTTCGTTGCCTCCTATCGGTGACGTAAGATATCACACCCCTCGATTTTCGAGGATCGATTGCTCCAAACATGGCGCGGGTGTTGGAACCGCCGTCCCGTCGAGAGCTTTACCGAAGACGTCAGTCAATATTTTGTTTATAAAGTGCCGGCAACGATGTAAGAGAGAGGCGTGACAAGCCGAAATCGTTCTCTTATATCCGACTTTCTCTTATTTCGTTTTGAAGAGAATTTTCCCTTGTTACGAAAGAGTACGATGTAAGAGACTTTTCTCTTATATCGTAGCCAATTTCTCAACGGCCGTTTAGAGCAGGGATTCTTCCCAAATTGGTGTCAGAGATCCATGAGCGCATTCAAAACCATGTGAACGTCATGCTGCAGCAATGACATTGTGCGTCGTTCTCATTCAACGCACCGTTGGTCTGTTTCATTGAGTGCATGCCCATACAAAAAAAAAAAGTCATGCGTACTTACGGTTGCGCGTCTGCTACGCGCTGCGCCTACCAATGCTCGCCCCAGCGAAAATAATGCTTGCAGGTGATGCATGCATGCACCCTTACTTACATACACATGCATGTAAAAAAAAAAGAAAATGCCCAAATCAACCGGGAAAACAAGTGCAGGAAACTGTGCCCTCCTCCCACCCCATTGATGTTTCCTACAACGACTCTTTCCTGCCTCCTTTCCATCTCAGAAAAAGTCTCTCATGCTCGGTTCAACAGAATTCGTCAGGAATACGGCAAATTTTCTCTTATATCGGTTTTAGCCGTGACAAGCCGATTTCATTCTCTTGTGTCCGTACTTTCTCTTAAATCGATTCTCTTATATCGTAGCCGGCACTGTGCATGCTCTTCGTCGGGGAGTGGTCGAGCTTTGGAAGTCGGGTGTGGTGTCTACCGTCACATAGATCGTGTCGTTGGCAGATTTGACTATAATATAAATAGCACCCACCACCCGTCCACGGGCATAAGTTTGGTGAGTGCATGCCATGCTTGTGGTGGTGGTGTTTGCAGGGTGTTTGTGGTGTGGGGAATGAATGCTTTTTTCTCGTGCGTTCGTGTCACCGTTGATGGCGTCCTTTTCCTGCCTCCTGCTTGCTGCTATGGGTCCGATCTACAGTTCCCCTTCTCTATTCCACCGGAGAGAATTAGCACACGCCCACCACCACCGGCTGTGAAAAGGGAGGTCTATTGGGCGACAGAGCTTGTAGTAGGCGTGGTGATGGGTGCTCTCGTGTTCAGCCGACGTTCCGCCACGATGCAAGCCGACGAGCCACGCACGAGAACCAAGGAACATATAATCATTTTCTGACCGTGCGTCGTCGTCGTCGCCCCCCGTACCACAGACAAGCCTTCACAAGATCCAATATTTTGGAAACCATGTGTTTTTTGTTTGCCATCCATCCCCTTCTATCGCTTCCCCTCCTGCGCCCGCGCGCTTTGTTTGCTTTCTTTCATCTCCCTCTCTGGTCGTCTCCCCCCCCCCCCCCTCTTGTTGTATCGAATCGTACAACACTGAAACAGAGGCTGACTTTCGCCGTTATGCCGGCCGACGACGGGGCAGCCGCCGCCGAGGCCGCCGACTTCTACGACTACGTCACCGAAGCCTTCCCCGACACGGAGAGCCACTGGATCAGCTACGACTCGGAGTCGGAGTTCCTGGACATCATCGGCGAGGGGGACTACTCTCAGGACGCGTCCGACGACCGGCCCGCGTTCGTGGCGGGGATCGTCTTCACCTCCGGCAGCCCGGACTGGGCGTACACGGTGAGCGAGTGGGCGGATGAATACATGTATGTACCGCTGTGGTACTGGTTACAGTAGAGGTCCCTGTTTAGTGCCGGTTGAATAGTGCCGGTTGAATGGTGCCGGTTGGCGGTATGGTGTTTTCGGCTCGCACACACTGGAATACCAAGCCGTTCTGTACTTTGAATTGTGCCAGTCGGTGTCCGGTTTAGTGCCGACGAAATTTTCAGGGACCTCCACCGTATTTTTTCACACCACACGATAACGTTCTTGTTCGCATGGATTCGGTTTCGATCAACAGCAGATGTGTATACGTGCTCAGGTGCTACATGCAGGTGTAGCCCCTCCCATTTCCGTTGGCACTGCCCCCTCGATCAACCGGTCGACCTCCTCTCCCCCCCCTCCTCCCCTCCGCCGCATACGCCCTGTCACGCGCGCGTGCGTCACTCTCCGCTCCTTCCTGTCCGCCGTGTCGTGTACCAGATCCGCGCCAACATCACCAAGAGCGGGACGGACTCTGACTCGTACTACATGTTCAACGTCCCCGAAACGGAATCTCCGACGGAGAACAACTGCAAGTCTCCCACCGACTGCCCCGAGGATGACGAGGGGCGCGATAACTTTTCGTGGAGTGCGGTACGTCGACGGTGTAAACAGATTTATAGTGATGATGTGCTTTGGTTGGTTGGTTGGTCGATGGTCGTTGTTGCTGCGTGCCTGCTTAGCATGCTGTCATGACTGACCACTTGTACTTTTGTTTTTGCACTTCGTTGTGTGATTGTTTTGTGAGCGTACATGTGCATTTTCTGGCCAAAGGTGGTAAACAAGATTTTGTACGTGCGTCCTTTTTTTTTTTACCACTAGTAAGCCCCGTTGTACATTCAATCGGCAGCGGCACTTGACGGTCTCGATGTGGTGGTACCTCGTTTCTCGAGTACCGTAGTTAACGGGCCGACTCAGCTCCCTCTCTGTGCCCCTCTTTCTGTACAATACTCCTGTCGACGATCCGCACCCTTTTTTCTCACTCTGAACCTCCCCCCCCATCACTCTCCTTTGCTTTTTTTTTTTGTCGACCATTGTCGAACCGATCAACCAATCAGCTCCACCACCAGTCACCCGTGATGATGCTGCAGCAGCTCGTCGACAACCGTATCATGTCTATTGAGGGGTCCACGGCCACCCCCCCCGTCGTGCGCATCACGGAGTTCCCGAACGCAGCGTATGAAGAAGACGGGTTCTGGTCTCAGGTGGGGGGAAAAGTCATCCTTTGACGCAGGCGGCGTTATTTCCTTTTTTGGTTTGTTGTACATACGTGCTTGGAAGATATACACTCCGCCAGGACGAGTTCATGCGTCGTGGGTGCTGTCGTAAGTGTTTGATTCGTATCGGGAGCAGCGGTTGAGACGATTGGTGCTGAACGAGTAATTTCTACGGGAGTACTGGAGGATATAAGAGCGGAGACAACGTGCTTGCTTTTTTTTATCGATCGTGTCGATGAACCGAGCGTGAGGAGATGAGGGCGTGAAATGTGTTGTTGGAAGGTCATCACTTGGTGATGTTGGTTGCGTGATGGTGATGGATGGTGTGTTGTTCTGAATTACATACGCCCATGGTATCTACTTGTTGACTGCGGATTGGCCTTGCACCTGCGGACTGTGTTTGCGAGGTCCGCTACGTGGATATTTTTATGGTGTCGTTGGTTACCCAGAACGAGAAAATCAAGAATGACCACGTTATTTTTTTTTTCAACGAATCGACGCGCTCTTCCATGGCAGGTGGGCGCCATGTTCGCCATCCTGGTGGTGATCGCGGTGCTCTACCCCATCGCCAACGTCATCAGCGCCCTCGTGAAGGAGAAGGAGCTGCGCATCAAGGAAGGGCTGAAGATGATGGGCCTTACGGACGCCGCCCACACGGCCTCCTGGGTGTTCCACTTCGTGTGCCTCTTCTTCTTCACGTCCTTGATCATGGTGCTCGCCTCGGGCAGCCTTTTCGAGTACAGGTACGTCAGAGATCCCTGGTGTTTTCTTTGGGCACACAGTGAATTTCAAGTCGTTTATCGGTATGGTGCTGGTCCGGAACAGTGCCAGTGAAATTACTTGGGCACATGCCGGCACCAAACAGGGACCTCTACTGCTGTGCTGTATGCACGTGCATGTTTCGTTGTTTGTTTGCCTTGTTGCATAGCAACCCACATTTTCTCGGGGAGGGGGGGGGGGGGCGGGCGTACTCTTGTGTTTTGCATGCTTTAGCGATTAGACCATTGACCACGCGTCCTCGAGAGGACGGAGCATTGGTCCCACAGGACCGCTAGCCGATGGCCAATCGTTCCTTCCTATTTTGCCAAAGGTGACTCAACACTACACTTGCTTCCCTACGTGTTGTATCATTTCTCTCTATCGGCCATGGACGTGGTCGGCGAGAGGCGCGGTCGATGTTACGCGAATAACCCCCACCCCCACCACCACCTATCCGAATTTGCAGTGACCCTGTCCTGGTATTCATTTACTTCTTCCTGTTCTTCATGGCGAGCACGGCCTTCTGCTTCTTCATCTCGGGTGAGCGGGACAGATTATTTTTTGTTCGCTTTCCCGGCTTTGAGAAAAAACACCGCAGCGCACGGATTATTTGCCAACAGGCACATCGGGGCTTGCGGCTGGCTTTGCTCCGCTCACGTGTTTTGAGAGCACGCTCGACGTGGTGGCTGCTGTACATAGCAGCGACCGGGATGGCTTCGAGCGCGGTTCTCTATTAGTCTACAAGAGTCCTTCGGTGGGAGCGGATAGCTTTCTGTTTTCGTTGCTCTGCCGGTCTGGTAAGCCATCCAATCTAGCACACAACGTGCTTGATTGGAGCTATTATTATATAGTTGATGTGGTTTAGAGCACACGAGAGCACTTTTCTCCGGCGCGGTCGCTTGTAGCAGACAGAACGTTGCAACGTCGTGATATTCCCTGCCCCCCCCTTGCCGCCTTTGCGATCCCAGCCTTCTTCAGTCGCGCCAAGACGGCTTCGACGATCGGAACCATGCTGTTCTTCGTGTCCCTGTTCCCGTACTTCGCCGTCCAAAGCGACGACACCTCGGCGGACGACCGGCGCCTGGCGTGCCTCCTCCCGCCGACCTGTCTGGCACTCGGCACCGTTGCCTTCTCGGAGTTTGAGGACTCGGGGGAGGTTAGTGTTTTGCCGTTGGTGGTGGTGGTGGGAAACGGCGCTTCCAGGCTTTCGCGCAGGACGCGATTGGTATATAGTATTCACACGACTCGCGTGTCGAGGACGACGGCCTAGCCACGCGCCCTGTTTGGCGCTGGCACGAACCCGGTCGCCGAGGGCAGGCAAGTCCATACGGACGAGCAACAACAACGCCGGCTTCGTTTTTTTTTTGCGCTTGCAGAGACCACTACCACCCGCCCACCCCGCGCGCTCTTGTTTCCTTCCCCTGTGCCTCTACGCGTGTGGTGACGTCATTGATTGAGCAGGGGGTGACCGCGGACACCGCGGGAGAGAGCGAGGACGGTTTCACGTTTAACGACGTCCTCGGGATGCTGTTCCTCGACATGCTAATTTTCTCTGCCCTGGCGTGGTACGCCGGACACGTGAGTGTTCATTTGCTTCGGTTCGTCTTTAGTTTCAGCACCCTATTTACTTGGATTGAGATTCCGGGAAATGATATTTACCCGTCGATATTGCTGGGATTGAGATTCTGGGAGATGGCATACCCGCCAGGGTTTGGTTGCATGTTCATTAATATAGGCCTTCGTCGCGGGCGCTCAACCAACATGGCCAGCGGCCGCGGGATGCTCGGGACCTATTGTTCGTTTGCATGAACTGTGTATATCTTAATGTAACCTATGTTCTCCACGCTGTTGTGACACGCGCGTGTATCTAACCAAAAACAGGTGCTGCCGTCAGAGTGGGGCACGGCCAAAAAGCCGTGGTTCTTCTTGACCGCGAACTACTGGTGCCCCGGCAAAGGCACGGAGTCTGTCCTCAAGGACAACCTCCAGGAGCTGGAGCACTTCGAGAGCGAGGGCCGTGACTCGGTCGAGCCCGTCGAGGACGAGCTGCGGTCGCAGGTGGCGGGCGGGGAGTGCGTCGCCATCCGTGGTGAGTTGGTTGGTGCTGGTGAGTTAGGGGTGCGCCGTGTTGACCGGGCAGGACTCTGCTGCTGGTGTTGGCGGTGGTGACTGTTGTTACGTATTCTTGTGGTCATACGCTGGACGAGTGACGGTAAAAAGGGTGTGAGACGTGCCGGGTGGTGAAGCAAAGGGCAGCAATGAAGTGGCAAAAAAAATGTTCGCTCGCGAACAACAACGCGCGCACGCGGTGGACGTGTACCGCATTTGGGAGAGCATTAGGTGAACGACCTGACCGTCGAAAATTGTGTTGATACGTATGCATATCTATTATATCTACACGAACAACAGGGCTTACCAAGGAGTACAAGAACTCCACGGGGGGCTCGAAGCTGGCCGTTGACAAGCTGGACCTCACCATGTACTCGGGACAGATCACGGCTCTCCTCGGCCACAACGGCGCCGGAAAGGTGAGCGCGGTGTGATGGTCACCCTGAATAGAGTGTGCGTGTGGTACATTTTATGTCGTACGCTTACGCGCAACCAACCCTTTGCTGCGTCTTAATGCAGGTGGACTTGCTCGCGCTCAAGGACGTGTTCTCTTTAGCCCTTCGTAGTTTGTTTCACACGGTAGCCCCCCCGCATCATTCACCTAACCCCCCCGCGCTGCTGTTCGTTCTTTACCGGTGTGTTCCGCGTGCTTGTTGGCTTCGCAGACGACTACAATCGGCATGTTGACGGGCATGATCCCGGTAACTTCGGGGAGCGCTTTCGTGGCCGGCCGCGATGTGAAAACGGACATGGTCAGCATCCGGAACTCCCTGGGCGTGTGCCCTCAGCACGACATCCTGTACCCGGACCTGACCGTGAGGGAGCACCTCCGCATGTACGCGGTGCTCAAGTCCGTGCCGAGCTCCGAGCTGCAGGAGGCGATCACGGTGAGAACAATGTGTGGCTCTGACCCGACGCAAAGTGGTCTGTCTTTCTGATGTGTTGTCGAAGCCTTTTGACGTCCTGTTTTTTTTTTTTCTTGCCTCTGTTACCAAGGGGAGCTGCTTTGGTGGGCCTCGTTGTTGTGTTTCTTCCGTGCAAGTAGTACCGCCCACCGTGCCTGCCAATGTACCCGAGAAATTGTTGCGGTGCTTTTTTTTTTGTCTGTTTCGAGGGTGTGCATATGCTCGCGCCTTCATTCCCGGCCCGCCCCTCATTGCACGCCCCTCATCGCACAGAACACTCTCAACGACGTGGGCCTGACCGAGAAGGAGAACGAGCTGACCACGACTCTGTCCGGCGGGCAAAAGCGCAAATTGTCCGTGGGCATCGCCCTGATCGGCGGGTCTAAGGTGGTCTTCTTGGACGAGCCTACGTCGGGGATGGACCCTCACAGGTGAACTTTCGGCGTGATCTGATTGGGTGGTCGGCTACCGCTGGGATGAGAGGGTGTCGGGAGAAGTGGCCGGGCGGGTGTTCTTCGATGTCCCGTGTATGTGTGGTGTGCGACGGCCCATGTCGTGGCGGCATGCCGACCATGTACCAAATCGACAATATTCTAGCTCTAGTTTCAACGCTGTCAAGAACCGAACACACACATGCCTTGACTGTTGTCATTAACGCCACACCCAACACACGCAGCCGACGCTTCACGTGGGACCTGATCCGCAAGAACCGGGAGGGCCGCGTGATCGTCCTCACCACCCACTTCATGGACGAGGCGGACCTGCTGGGCGACCGCGTGGCCATCATGGCCGACGGCGCGCTCCGGTGCTGCGGCAGCTCCATCTTCCTCAAGAACTACTACGGCGTCGGGTGAGACCAGTTGTGTTGCTCAATCAAGACTGCTGTTAGTCGCGCAACTGTGAGACAACGTTGCTGCTGTAGCCGCGCAAAGCGTGCTCGGAAGGGCTGTCGGTCCCTTGCTGCCTTTTTGTTCTTTTTTTTTTTTTGTGCCGTTCGACGAACGGGTGTCGGGTGTCGGTACCAAGGGTGATGGTGCCCAGACGAAAAGCTCTCCGCGCTGATCTATTCGGGCATTGTGGGTCGTCGTCGATGCTATTGACAGACACATGCTTTTTCAATAAACGGGACTCCGCTTGTTTTTGTGTTGGTAAGGGAAGTTTCGATTGGCGTGAATCAGGCCACACCCACCAACGGACGCACACACACCCGGGGAACGTTTTTTGAAACGGTCCACTAATAAATATGTCTTCCTTGCTCATTTTCAAATTTTGCTGTCAGGTACAACCTCACGATCGTTCGGGAGATCCAGGGAGCTGAGTCTGACATGAAGCCCGCGTTCGAAAGCGGCATGAATGCAGAGGAGAAGATCGACGAGGAGGACATCGGCGTAAACAACACGGCGGCTCAGGTGAGTTTGTTCTGTGACGCTTAGCCCTTGTTATGTTAATTTTTCCCTTGCTGTGCCCTCTTTAGTCCCTCAACCACTGCCCCTTCTCTCTCTCTCTCTCTTGAGTACGTGCGGGGGACAGAGGAGAGTTTACCCATGTACTTCCAAGCTCACAGAAGGCCGACATCACACCTGCTGTGACAAGTGTATGTAGCGGGCATCCCACCAACCAATCGTATGCTTGAGCCAACTATTCCTCTCTTGGGTGTGCGTCCCGTATTTTGTCCCGGTGTTTCGGGTCGACGACGGCCAACACCACCAACACAGGAGGCGGGCGTGAAGCCGATCAAGCGCCTGGTGCGGTCGCACGTGAAGGCCGCCACCCTCCTCAGCAACGTGGGCGCCGAAGTGTCGTTCCAGCTGCCCAACGACGCCTCGCCCTCGTTCCAGGGCATGCTCACGGAGATAGACTCGCGGAAGGCCGAGCTCGGCGTCAACAGGTTTGGTGCAGTGCAGGGTGTCTCCTTGCCACGGACGCAACGTATTTTCATATTTTTCAAAAAATACATGGGTGCAGTACAGCTGCGAAACCCCTTCCCTTGTCATAAAAAAAATATAGAACTAGTCAAGTATAGTTTGGTCATGTTTGTCTCGTTCGCTGTTTTGAACGAAACCCAACCCCGGAGCGTGTGCTGGTTTTGGATGATGAGCCAATGCGTGTGACAGGCGGTTATGCACTCCCATGTGTGAAGAAGCGGTTTATTGTCACTGAGCCGTTCCCGTCCTTCGTCCCCCCTCCCCTTCCCCCCCGCCCTTCAGCTACGGCTTGAGCGTGACCACCCTGGAAGAGGTGTTCTTGCGCGTGGCTAACGGCACCGCCGACGTAGAGGCTCGCAAGGAGATCGCAGGCATCTCCATGATGCGCCAGAGCAGCTACTCCTCTACCATGATGGAAGCAGCCACGACTAAGGTGCCGTTTTTCTTCAGCAGGAAGCAGCAAAGCTTACAGCTCGCCCACGCCACGTCCCCGCCGCCCTTTGTACCTTCTTTCGGCGTGTTGAAAACATCTCTGCTGCAACGCTTTGCGTTGAAATTTCCAACATTTACGTTGAAACGTGCACACATTTTACGTTGGAAACGGTTTTGTTTTTGATCGCCACGAAACCAGATGGCCGCGAACGTCGTCGGCGGCGGCGGCAAGGAAGATCTGGGCATCGACCGGTCCAAGCCCCTGTTCGGCAGGCACATGATGGCCCTTCTGAAGAAGCGCCTCCTTACGTTCAAGCGCGACAAGAAGATGTGGGCGTTCGTCGTGCTCATGCCGGCCTTCTTCGTGCTCATCGGCGTCCTGATCCTGCTCGCGGTTGCGGCAACCAACGAACCGTCGATGTTGCTTACGCCGGAGGTGAGTTAGATGTGCAAGGGGGGAGGTAGGAGTGAAGGCATGCCATACATGCGAGTGTTCCGCACTCGGAAATCGCGGTCTCTTTCTCTCTCTCTCTCTCTCTCTCTCTCTCTCTCTCTCTCTCTCTCTCTCTCTCTCTCTCTCTCTCTCTCTCTCTCTTTGGGTTTTTTTGGGTCGTTTTTTTGAGCGGGCTGGGGGAAATTTTGCGCCCCTGGGGGGTTGTTTTGATTTTTTTTTGTTAGTTTGGGGGATTTTGTTGTTGCCTGCGGACAAGAGGACAAGCAGGGCAGAAACATTCACCCCTTTTGTTTTTCATTTGGTCCCCTTTTTTTTGGGGGAAACTTTATCCCCGGCGGAGGGATTTCCCCCCCCCCCCCCATTTTTTGGAACATGGGGGAACGAAAGTTGGACCAATTTACTTAGGGCCCCCCCCTTAATCCCCCCCCCCCCCCCCCGCGCGCGTACATGTTCTCTTTTACGTCGCCCCCCCATTTTTTTCTTGTCTCAGGACTACAACGACGGCTCGGCGCCCTTCCCGTACGCCACCGAGTGCGCTGCCACCGCCACCGCGACGTGCGACCCGGAAGTACTGGTGGCCGAGATGGACATCTCCGGTTCCGCCGAACCTGTGGTTCTCGGTATCCCCGCTACCGCTGATGAGTCTGGCGCTGTTGAACTGGTGAGTTGCTTCTGTTGTTGGTTGGTTGTTTCTCGCCTTTTGTTTTGTTGCGCACGCGGCAAAGGTGTTGTTAGTTATTGCTTGTTTTTCAAGAACTGGGGCGTGATTTCTGACCAGCACCAACCGTTTTTTTTTTCTTTAAAGTGCATTTGTCGAGAGACACTTATCGTCTATCCGTGTGTGTTGTGTGTGTTCTTTGGTCGGCGTACCCTAACGACCCAACCCTAGCACTAACTCGTAACCAATCCTTACGCTAACACTAAGCCTTAAACATTGCTATCTGTCACCCACCGTTCCACGGTGCGTTCCGCGGTACGATGGGAGCAGATGAGCGAAGCTCTTCTGGAGGGTGAGTACGAGGACAACGTGTACGGGGCTGTATCCTTCCGTGAGGCGGACTCGAGCACGGAGACGTACGACTTCACCGTGCACGTGAGGAAGATGCTGCCTGCATGTCTCTTGGCCGTTGTCGTTGGTGGTGTTGCTGCTGCTGCTGCTGCTTCTGTCGTTGTTGTCGTTGCTGCTGCTGCTGCTCTTGTGTTCGATGAATTTTTGTGCGTCTTTCCTGGGTGTTGGTAGGCACAGCCGCACGGCCTCAACCTTGTTGCTAATCGTTGATCGGCCAGTTGCTGTACAGTTGTATGCTGCTTTACCCGGGAAAGTGAAGGCGGCAGCGGCGTCAAGATTGTCGGGTTTCGACTCAGCCGCCCAGCTACCACGTTTTGGGGCTGGCCTTTGCCACTCACTGCTCCCCAAATCCCGGGCGTATCGGGTTCCCGAATTAAGCCTGTGTGCTGGTTCATGTTTGCTGTGGTCACCCCCCCCCTCCCTCCCCCCCCTGGCGCGTGCGCGTGCCCCCTCTCTCGCCGCGGCGACCGCACGCTAAACGACAGGCCAACTACAGCGCGCTGCACAGCGCTCCCTTGTACGTGAACCAGATCAACACGGCTCTTCTTCGCCTGGTGACAGGGAACAGCGACTTGAGCATCGCTGTCACGATGCACCCGCTCCCACGTGAGGAGGAGGAGGAGGAGAAGTTTTTGCCCTCGTTGTTGTGTACCTCTCTCTGTCGATCTTCGTTTTTTTTTAGCTGCGTTCTTGCGGCTAGTCGTGCGCGCGTGGATACTGTCGTGGGCCTCTCTGTGGCACCTTTCGACCCCATCTAGCACGCGGGGACTTCGTGGCGGGCCAGGGTACTATAGTACTTAGGGTCAGGAGCCCCCCACCCCCCTCATCCTCATTCACCCTCTTGTAGACGAACGAGTAAAGTGGCGAACCGTTTGAGAGTGCCACGGTACCGTTTGTGAACAGATGTTTTTTTTGGAGGTCCAGTTAAGGTTAAGGTGACAAAATCCATACTCAATACATACTTGTCACGGTTATTCTTGGACCCGTTGGAGCGAAGTTTCCGCCGCCACCACATCGAAAGAGTAGCAGGGATTGTGTCCGCTGATATTCCCTTTGACTCCTCTCACGCGTGAACCCTTTTGTTTTCTCCCTACTGTGGCCGTCTCCTAAACATGGCGGAAACAGGCACCCCACGCGAAGAGGACATCGACTCCGGGTTCAACTCGTTCAACGTGTCCCTGTTCATGCTCATCGCCTTCAGCTTCGTGCCCGCGGCGTGGATGGCCTACATCGTCCGCGAGAAGGAGACCAAGTGCAAGCACCAGCAGGTACAAGCAAAGGAGGGGCGATGCAGCGGTTGGGTGAATACCGGGAGTTTGTTGTCGCTGTTGTTGTATTCACATTTGAAAACCGTTCCGGTCTCTCTGCCATGTTCGTGTTTGGTACCGGTCCAACCGAGGCGGATGCCTGCCGTGGTCGCAGGCCTGCCATGGCGAGCCCCGCGATACGTGATTGAACAACGTCGTCCTCGCCATCTGCGATGACGTATATACTCACCCACGTCTGTTTTGTCCTCTCTTCCAGATGCGTGTTAACCCACAATTATCCCTGTTTGCTGGCTTACAAATAGATGTGCACGCCCACATCTATTCTCTGTTTGCTCTCTGACAACCATGTGTACACCCACGTCTTTCTCTGTTTGGTCTGTTGCAAAGGTGGTGTCCGGTGTGGGCCTGGAGGCCTACTGGCTGTCCTCCTTCCTGTGGGACTACGTGTCGCTCATCCCCCCGGTGGCCTTCACCCTCATCGTACTGGCGGCCGCGGACGTAAAGGCCCTAATCTCCGGAGAAAACGGCGTCGCCACCTTCCTGCTCTTCCTGCTCTTCGGGTTTAGCATGGTGGGCACCGCACCGTAGTATTTGGTGGATGTTAGGACACGCTTCGGTGGTGGAGATTGACACATGCACGCACACGCTCCGCTTCACGTATCCACTACCATGGCGTGGCGGGCGAATTTGTTTGGTGGTGGATGTGGGACACATCCACACACGCGCTCTCGCCTACAATCGTACGAAGTATATATTTTTTGCTACCGAGGGCAAGCGAAGCCTTTTTGTTGGGTTCGAGAAAGCGTCGGAGCAGATTTGCTGCCGCATACACAACCTCCGTTTTTTGTTGCCCCTCCCCCCCCCCTCCCTCCTTTTTTCAGTCAGTCTTACATTTTCTCCGCCACTTGCTCATCCGTCTCTCTTCCCCCCGTTCCGCCCATGCTCGGTTGTCGACGAAACCAGCCGTGCTACACTTACCTGTGGAGCTTCTTGTTCAAGAACTACTCCAAGGCACAGAACGCCTTCCTGTTCCACAACTGGATCACCGGCCTCATCCTGCCGATCGCAACCACCATCATGTCCCTGTTCGAAGGAGCCGTGAGTCACCTAGTTGTTGTTGGTTGTTGGTTGTTGCTGTTGGTTGTTGGTTGTTGGTTGTTGGTTGTTGGTTGTTGATGTTGTTGCTTGTTGCTTGTTGCTTGTTGCTTGTTGCTTGTTGCTTGTTGCTTGTTGCTGTTGCTTGTTGCTTGTTGCTTGTTGCTTGTTGCTTGTTGCTTGTTGCTTGTTGCTTGTTGCTTGTTGCTTGTTGCTTGTTGCTTGTTGCTTGTTGCTTGTTGCTGTTGGTTGTTGGTTGTTGCTGTTGCTGGTTGTTGGTTGTTGCTGTTGGTTGTTGGTTGTTGGTTGTTGCTGTTGTGTTGTTTAGAGAGTTCCTGCGCCCATCAGGAGACGGTTCCATGCGAAAGGAAAAAAAAAAATCGATTCGTTGGTGTGGTACGGTGGCGGTCGTTTGCTTTGTGACGGGTTCAGTAGTTGCGCCAGCCAATCACGACCTGCTGTGGACCCTCCCGCAGGCTGCACCGTGCCAACGGCTTGGGGTCGGCGTTTGTGGTTGCGGCGTTAAAACGGAGCGTTGTCGGCCTGCCCCTCCCTCTCCGTAGTCGAGAGCCATTGGACGCGATCCCGCCTGCAATTAACAAAAAAACTTTCCCCGTAAAAAAACAATTGGCACCCACTCTCATTTGCCTGCGGACCTATTCCACCACCGTGGCATGGATTTCGGCTTGCTGCGTAGCGACGACGTTTTCAGTTTGCCACTACCACTGCCCACCTCTTTCCGTTGTCAAACGTGTTGTTGTTCCAACCGCCGGCTCTCTGTGTGCGTTTTTTTTTTTTTTCAGGTCTCAGACGTAGGCCGTGGCATGGCAGCGGTGCTGCGCATCGTCCCCAGCTTCGCCCTGGGCGACGGTCTCATGAACATGAGCTTCATGGAGGTGGGATAATTGCCTCCAAGTGACATGACATGGTCTTGTTGCGGTTGAGGTGTCCTGCGCTGTGGTGACTCCGATTTGTTTTCGGCATGCACGTTGAAACCGATTCCTGTTGTTCTTTCGGCTTCCGCACGGGAAGAACGTGGCGGGCACGAGCCGAGAGTCTCGAGAACACGCGGCGGGCTGTGTCGGGAGCTGCTGGCGTTGGAAAGTCGCTGGAAATCAAGGATTTGGTTCTCTAGTCGGTGTTTTTTTTTGTTTTGTTTTCTCGTCTACGTCACGACGAGCTGGCCTTTAGTTGACGCGAACGGAGGGAGAGGCCCCACCACGTGACATCTCCACCGCCACCTCGCCTACAATCCACTGCAGGGTCTACCTCCGGCATGTCATCCGTTCTCAACAGCTTGCCGGTCGGCAAGAAGGGTCGCTACGAGCAGGCGGACGGTTGGGTGCCGAACACGCTGTTCGTCTAAAGAGAGCGACCGACACGACCATCGGCATCTCGGGC